TTTTTTAAATTTTCAGGACTTTCTCTTGCTTGGGCAGACAGAGTTCTGTAGAGCATTTTGGATCAAACTTCATAAGGCTTCTTGTGTCTTTTTAAAGGGAAGACAAACAAATCTCTCCACTCTGCTTAAAAACTAATAACATCTGTGCTGGAGAACTGAGGTAGTAGCTTTAACCCTTTCCATTGTCAGGAAATGAAGCCATTTATCTAATGGGGAGGTAAGTGGGAGAAAAAAGGAGCAGAGACGGGTAACTTGGGCTCAATACAATGGCTACAGTTTGTAGGGATTGTGGATGCCGATGAAATGTGCAGCTGAGGTTGAGTACACCTCCTGCCCTGATGTGCTGAATGTGAGGACCACATCCTAAGCATGTGAATGTGAACTAGTAGAGCTGGAAATGTCAAACTCAGAATGAAAATCCTGTCTGTCCAAGAATAGCAGAACACATATGGACACCATCTTGCTGAGAATCAATTTAGATAAAAATAAAAACAAAACAAAAAAACACAAAACAAACATACATCTTTCAGCAGAGACTAAAGAGTGAGAGCTCAAGAATAAATGGACTTCTTTTTAAAAGCATAATAGGACCTCTTTTGGATAAATGACATCTGGTATTATCTTTGGGGAAAATTTGGGAGAACAAGGGAGAGGAAGACTTAAAAGAGAATCTGGATGTCCTAGCAAGAAAACTAGGTGACGACTGTAAGCCAAATCATACCTCTTTTACAATTAACTGATTTTCACGCTGGAATAACTGGACATCTACATGAAAAAATAAATGAATCTAGACACAAACCTGACACACTTTTTAAAAATTAAGTAAAAATGGATCACAGACCTAAATGTAAAATATAAAATTACAAAACTCCTAGAAAAATAGGAGAAAATTTATATGACCTTAGGTATGATGATGTTTTTTAAGATAACATCAAAGGTACAGTCCATGAAAGAAATAATTGTTATGCTAGACTTGACTAAAATTAAAAACTGCCCTGCAAAAGACAAAGAAGAGAGAATGAGAAGGCAAGCCATAGAATGGGAGAAAATATTTACAAAAGACACATCTAATAAAGGACTATCATCCAAAATATACAAAGATTTCTTAAAATTGCATAATAAAAAAATTAAAATATCTTAACAGACACCTCACCAAATATCTTAACAGACACCTCACCAAATAAGATACATAGATAGCAGATAAATGTGAAAATTTGCTCCACATCATTTGTCATTGGGAAAATGAAAATTTAAAAAATGAAATACCACTATACACTTATCAGAATGACCAATATTCAGAACACTGACAACAGTCAGTTGCAAAGATGTGGATCAATAGGAACTCTTATTCATTGCTGGTGGAAATGCAAAATGGTACAGCCGTTTTGGTATACAGTTTGGAGGTTTCTTACAAACCTGAACATACTCTTACCATACAATCCAATCTTTGATATTTACCCAAAGGTATTGAAATCTATGTCTACACAAAAACCTGCACAAGAATGTTTGTAGACGCTTTATTTGTAATGGCCCAAACTACTTGTAAGCAACCAAGGTGTCCTTCAGTAGGGGAATGGACAGTGGCATAGTACTGTGTACTAAAAAGAAATGAGCTATAAAGCCATGAAAAGACAGGGAGGAACCTTAAATGCATAGTACTCGGTGAAAGATGACAATCTGAAAAGGCTACATACGTATGGTATATACTCTGTGACATTCTGGAAAAGACAAAACTACGGAGACAGTAAAAAGATCAAAGGTTGGGCTGGTGGAGTGATGCATAGGCGGAGCACAGAGACTTTTTACAGCAGTAAGATACTCTGTATAATATTATAATGTGGATACATGTTATTGTATATTTGTCCAAATCCAGAGAACATTAATGGAAACTACGGACTCTGAGTGATAATAATGTGTCAATGTATGTTAACCAGTGGTAACAAATGTGTTACTCTGGTAGGAGATGTTGATAATGGGGAGGCTATGCATGTGTGAGGGTTTGGGGTATATGAGAAACCTCTGTGCCTTCATTTCAATTTGGCTGAACCCCTAAAACTGCTCTAGAAAAATAAAGTCTTTTTTTTTTTAAAAAAAAAAAAGCACAAAAGCAAAAAGATTGGGAAGAAAATCACCCATAGTTGCAATATTAAAATCTAGACATTAACAGTTTGGCAAACTCTCTTCTTTCAACATTCAGTTTTATACTTCACATAGGTATAATTATTCCTTCTTCAATTTTTAAAATTGTAAAAATAGTTATGCCCTTTGAAAAATATTTAAATTTACAGAAATGTGTAGAGTAAAAGGAGGAATGCATATTTAAATGGGACTATACATATGTATTTCTTTTCCATTTGGGAGAAAATAACTGTACATTTTATAAAACCATGTGTTATACACTTCCCATACTAAAACATAGAGATTACATTTCTTGCAGCATGTTATATTAGGTAACTAATATTATTAAAGTGCCTACCTCCTTTTCCAACATCAAGCCTTCTGCTCTGAGGTTCTTTTCAAATGTGTTTCTTTTATCATATTGTATATTTGACTTTCTATAAACCAAGATGTAATCAATCCGCTTTTTGCCATCTTTGAATAGAAGTCCACTGGATGCTATGTAATTCATGTCATTCTGCAAATAAAACAATGATTATTAATAATGAGTTAGACAACATACATTTTGGTTTCAGTCACTTCTGTTTGGATACTGGCAATCCAATATCAAAAAATATGTTTTTTACATTCCAATTATGACATGGGGAAAGGTGATTTTAAAAATCTTCAGTTTACTGTAGGAGACAAGTTAGGCATCAAATGCACAGGTTTTATTCAACAAGGCCCTGTAAAAAAATAATATAGGCTAACATTTGTTGAGTATTTAGTTAATATCAGGACTAGACAAAGTCCTTTACTTTATTGTATTTTATATTCACAACTTGCATTTAAAGATAAAGACATTAAGGTTTAAACAACATAAATATTGAGAGAACAAAAAAACAACATAATTTCCTATATTAAATAACATTCAGACAAAACATTGCTTTCTTAAACCAATGTTCAGTGACAATAAACCAAAGAACAATTCCTGAGCTGCTTGCTCTAAGGAATATTTGCTCCCAAAATATGACTATGATCTAACAAAAACAGGTCCCTTGCTTATCAAGACTGCTTTAAGGCCCTCACATTGCTGTGCCCACAGCTATTTTTCAGACTTTGCCCAATTTTCAACCAAATTCCTGCCTTGCAAGACTTACTTTAAAATCTTCCAGCCCAGATCCTAGAACTCTTTGAAAAACATCACCTTTTTGCAATACTACTAAGACTACACAGGTGATATCCTTATTTGCTATAACTTTAATAAAATCACTTTATTGATCAACAGATTTTCTTCCCCCACCCTCTTTAATTCCCGCCCACCCCACACACACACTTCCCCCCATGATCTATGAATGTTGCCTTTTCCCATTCAGGACTGCATCTCTGAAGGCAAGGCGTCTCCTCCCACGTCCCCCCAGGGCCTGGCGTCCCCCAGAGCTTGCACTCCCAGAGAAATCAGGGGGCCTGGCGCACCTGGAGTATGGTCCATGGCCCCACCTGGGGCGTGAACCCAGGACCTTCTGCGTGTAAAGCAGACATGCTAACCACTACACTATGGAGCCACCTCCTCAATGGGTTTTCTTGATGGTCTTAAAGGAGGCTTTACCAATATTTTGCACAAGATCACTGAAGAAACAGGACTTGAATCCAATTTTGACTCCAGGTTCATGTTCTGAACTATTATATATGTTGGTCTTCTTGTCCCACATTTTCCATCAAACTATTTGAACATCTGCACCAACTCTTTATTCCATTTTTTACATGCAGGCATTTCTTGAGATTCAAAAAATTTCCTAACATTTAGAGAGCTATCTTATAATTTCAGACAAAGGCATCTCAGACTTCTTTGCAGAAGCCTGCTTAAGACACATATGTAGCTCAAGGTAAAAGAAGTGGAACCAGTGAAATCTAGTGGCCAAAGAAATAATGGCCAAGGAATCATCCAGGTGAAGCAATAAAAATGATATCTAAAAGAATGTCTTCTCACAGGGACAGGTTAGGTTGCCTCAGGAGCTCTGGCTTCTTAGAGACAATAGGTTCAAGTGTGTAGATTCAGAGTACTAGCGACTCTACAGCTCAAGGACAAGGAGGCTTTGCACAGCATTTCCTTAATGAAAAAAAAAAAAAAAGATTTCCAGGATTATTTCATTGGGTACCACACAGTGACTAAGTAACCAACTCCAGTGGAGTAGCCAGAGGAAATCTGGAGCCAGCAAGGGTCATATTATTTTGCTAAATTTACCAAAGTCCTCAATCAGAAATGTACAAAATTAGATCATGTCATTAATCTGTAAGTGAACAGCTGATCGACTATCCATTAACTATGATCCTGGGTTAGTAAAATGCAGTTTGATACCTTAAGGTACTGAGATACAAATCAGACAGACTAAACGTGTAATTTAACCTCACTGTTCACATAATCACATTATAAGGTTATTATGACTAAATGAGATAATGCATAGAGCACTCCCAAAGTTGTCTGACTTACCTTATAAAAAAAAATGATAGCTATTAACCCAAGTAAAAAATGTATACCATGTATTAATTTATATTGGAACTTTTCTATTTTCTAATGATCCAAATGAATCCTTTCACTTTTTGGAAAATATCTTTATAAGATAAAGATAGATAGAAACATAAGTAATTCAAAGAATGTTGGTGTGAGTATGTAATTAGAGCAAAGGAAAGCAGGTGTTCTGCACATAGACTTGTGAAACATGATTTACTATGAAGTTAAAAGTGCAATAAATAAATTCATAACCTAATAAATTACTATAAGATAAACACCTCAATGACTACTACCTGTCAATAAAGAACTTCACCAACTCCTGCAGAAGTCTCCCTTATATCCTATCAGGGTACCCTCCACATCCACCTCCCCCAAGGTAATCAAAATCCTATAGTTTATGGCACTACTTTCTCATTTTTCTTAGTTTTATCATCGAAGGATATATCCTTAAACACTACATTTAGTTCTGTCTGTTATCAAGCTTTATATAAATAAGAATAAACAATGAATATTGTTTTGTGTATGGCTGCTTTCACGTAATATTATGGATGTGAAATCCATTCACTCCTAATTTTCATATGTTTGTAGTTCATTTTTTCACTGTTATATTATTATATGACTACGATGAAAAATTTATTTATGCTTTCTCCTAATAATGGATATTTGGGCTGTTTCCAGGCTGAGCTATTACAAGTAAAGCTATAAATAACATTCATGTATATATACTGCAATACACACGTGCATGCATTTCTATCAACTATACCAGTAACACCTAAGTTCCTCCTTTTCCGTAACTTTTAGTCTTTAAAATATTATTATTATTTAGCCATTTGGTTGGAGGAGTGCTTAGTAATAATTTATTGAGATTTCATTTGCATTTCCATGATTACCGATGCCTTTTTCTAATGATATTTTGTCCACAGGCATTCCAAATAACAAGCCCTTTGACATGCATATGTATTCACATTTCAAATGTCTGTCTGTGGCTTGACTATTTTATAATGTCTTGAAATATACAGAAATTCTTAATTATAATAGTCAGATTTATTATTTATTGAGTTTTTATAGTTCATGTTTTTGTTCCTGTTAAAGAAATTTTTACCTATTTTAAGGTCATGAAAATATTCTCTTCCATTATTTTCTAGAATATTTATTGTTTGTCTTTTAACATTTAGATTCAAAGTCTACTAGAATTGATCTTGTTGTATAAGACGTGTGGTAGGGGTCACATTTTATTATTATTTCTATGTGCTTATCCTATTATTCAGCACCCTGTATCAAAAGATGTTTCCCCATTGTAGCTGTCCTGCCTTTGTCCTATATGGGAATACTGAATATTACAAAGATGTTTCCCATTAAAAATTTATTTGTGGAATGCTCACAGTTCATTCGCCAACTCTTTAATTGTTGAGAGTCTATTGTACAAATAAAGTTATAATAAACATTCATCTGAATATCTTGCAGTACACAAAAAAGTTCATGCATTTCTATCATTTCATGCATTTCTAGGTACGTACCTAGGAGAAAAATTGTTGATTCATAGGAAATGCTTACTTTCAACTTTAGGAGTATATTGATCTTGATGTAAAATAGAGACTATTGTGTACAGGCCCTGATGCAATTTCTGGTGTCTTATTAAAATTTCATGGAACATGGTTATTTACAGACGGAATCTTCTTGGTTACCAATTACTGCCTTGTGCTTAAAAAAAAAAAGACTTATTTTGTCATAGTTTATAGCATCCCAGTATTCATGAGTCTAAGTGCTGCCTGTATCTGCTCCTACACGATACTCCTTTTACCCAAATTTTGGTATTCAGAATGCAACCAATTATTGCCACACCCATTTACTGTATATTTCTGTTTCTGTTTGAATTTAGAGAGAAAGGAATGGCAGAGGGAGCAGGGTGTGACCGTGGCCTGCTCAGAAGACTGCTCCTATTTAGAGAGGCAGTGGATGCTTAGTTTCCTTGACCATGTGGCCCGGAAGCCCAAAGATAAGGACAAACAGTGGGCCAGATTAGTCCAACTTTCCTCTGGAATCTGGTGGACACCACATTAATTTCAGTTAATAAGGCCAAGTGTCTGTGTACCAGGCTTGTGTTCTCAATCTTATTTTACCAAATCTTCAAATAATGAAAATCGTTTACATTGGTTCCCAGTGGTGGTGTTTGTGGGTGTGTGTGTGTGTTTCTGTATCTTCTTTTGGCAATCTTTAAGGGCAAATTAGGAGATAGCAATCTGGACACTGTTAGTCTGAGGCCATGTTTTACCCGGAAGTTCTAGTTTTACACTTTTTAATTGGAGAAACATACAAACAGCTTTGCTATGTAACTTTAATTTATCTCAGAGTTAATGTCGATCCACAAAATAGCTCTTGTTATTAACAAAGAAAAAAAAGCTATTCAATTTTTTCTATTTCAGACAAATGAGAAACACTTTTGTCAACAAAATCACATATTTACAACGACAAAAACAATACCTATTAAAATCAAACAGAAAACATCATACACTGTGGTTCGAAAGAAATTCTAGACATGGGTGGAAATTTAGTAAGTGCTACTGAATTAATTAAAATTCTGCTGTTTTTTTTTTTCCTGTCAGAGAAACTTTTCATTTTAAAATAATACTTAAAGGAGAATAATGTGTTAATTTTCTAAGTGTCCTGGTAGATAATAGAGTATATTAATGCTTATATATTTTAATGTACCTTATTTCAAGCTTATTTCAAACTTAACTTAAAATATGCTAGTAATGTAATTACTATACAAATTTTCTTATGCAAATCATCTTTAATTATGAATCTTAGAAATCTAAAAAAAAATCTGACCTCAGTACTATATAGGTGTGGGCTTCACTGCTGATAAAAATCTGGCAAGGTCTGTCGTCTCCTTAACAGAACATCAACCCTACCTGTAGAGCACATGGTCTTCAGAAACACAAATCCTCTAAATCACTAACTATGGAGTTCTCTTATCAGCTGGCAGAATCTCTAAGTGATTATATTTCAGCTCCAATTACAATCTG